GTACAGTAAGGGTCGTGGTTCTTGGGTTTGATGATATTTGGTTCTTGGGTTTGATATTTACAGAGGCACCATTTTAACCTCAGTCGTTCTTGTACTTCATCTCCTCCATTCCTCCTGTAGGAGAAATAGGATTCTTCTTTTGTCTTGGAAAAGATCATACAGTTCTTCGGAAGATTGGAATTGCCACTTTGGGGGAAAGGAGAATGGTTGTTTTATAGCTTCCTTGCTTCAGGAAGCAGAATTCTGGAACTTGACCTTGTTCCTTAATCCCCAGTTGTAGCTTCCTCATCTGTAAGGGAAATAATAATACCTGTTCTTCCTGTGAAAATTTGTTCATACCGTCAAGCATTCAGTAAATTATTCTTATCTGTCTACTTCTGTCTACTATGCCTCACCTTCACTTTGAATTTCTCTATTTTTCCTGGATTAATTGTTCTTTCTTATCTATAAGCTCAAAACAACCAAGGCTGGTAAAAGCATATGAGAGTGAAAATGATGCAGTGCCCATGATTGGTGACCCTCTTGGGCAGGAGTTCTGCCTTGCACCCCATTGGTCTTTTTTTTTTTTTTAATGTTTTTTATTTATTCTTGAGACACAGAGAGAAAGAGCATGAGCTGGGGAGGGGCAGAGAGAGAGGGAGACACAGAATCTGAAACAGGCTCCAGGCTCTGAGATGGCAGTCAGCACAGAGCCCGATGTGGGGCTCGAACCCATGGACCGCAAGATCATGACCTGAGCTGAAGTCGGATGCTCAACTGACTGAGCCACCCAGGTGCCCCCCCCCCCCACACCTCGTTGTTCCTTCTAATGCTAGCTTGTTTGTTCACGAATCTTGGTTCTCTAGACCTGCATTGTCCAGTTCGGTAGCCACTGAGCCACAGTGGGAACTGAGAGCATGAAGCCTGGCTGGTCTGAACTGCTCTGAGCATAAAATACATACTGCACTTTCAAGACTTAGCATGCAAAAATGTAAAACATCTCATTATTTATTTTTTATATATCGATTATATGTTGAAATGATAATATTTGGGATATACTGGGTTAAATAAAATACATCAGTAACATTAAATTTACCCATTTCTCTTTTTACTTTTATTTAACATGGCTACTAGCAAATTTAAAGGTATATATGTGGCACTCACTTGTGGCTTACGTTATGTCTCCGTTAGACAGTATCGCTCTACAGGAGCAGATGATCTTTTGTGGCTGTCCCATGGCACTCATTTTCATTGGCAATCTTCATGTTTTTAGTTATTTTTAAAGGTCCTCTGTTCAGTTTTTGAGGTCCTCAGTATTGGCTGCATTATTTTCACTTTCCTAGTTAGCAAAATCAAAATACCCCACCAGAGGGCTCCAAAGCTATACTAAGTTTTCCTTCCTTCCTTCCTTCCTTCCTTCCTTCCTTCCTTCCTTCCTTCCTTCCTTCCTTCCTTCCTTCCTTCCTCTCTCTCTCTCTTTCTTTCTTTCTCTCTCTCTCTCCATTCCTCCCTCCCTCCCTTCTTTCCTCTCTTCCTTTGTAACATGACAGTGCACAATATCTCAATTGTATTGAGGGGCTAGAATTTTTAAGTATGTGCATTTTTTCCTGTTACAATAATGCAGTCATCGTGGGTGACTGTTCACTTAAATGACTACTGTAAACAGAATCCTGGACTCAAAGATGTGGCAGTCTTAGTCTTTAAGGAAAAATGACTTGAAGGGATTCATGAATTGAAGAGCAAACATTCACTGTATTGAACATTTACTAAGGGAGCACTTCTGAGAACATTTACTACCAAACAAATATGCAAATTAACCTTCATTTGGTAATCTAGTCCCTCTTTAAGCAAGGTGCATTGCTAAATTGCAGTTTGAAAGAGTTTCTGTAAATGGTAATGCAAAGCTGCTGTGCATCACATATATCTTCAGTTCTTTTTCTCAACCACCACTCATCACACCTGCCCCATGCTGGTTCTAGGGTGTACAAGGAGGAATAATGTGGATCTCTGCCTACAAATATCTTTCCCTTCACTTTCCCCAGCTCGTTACTACTAGAGTACATTTTTTCTGCAACGTGAAACCAAGATTTATGAAATTCGCCCGTAACTATTAGTAGTAATAATTAGGATATTGACCACTATTACACGTTGACTTAAATAATATTGTGTGGTATTTGCAGTTTATAGGAACATTATCTCAGATGCTTTCTGGTTCAGAAGAACGCAGTGAGGATGGGTAGTTTAATATTAGTATTAGTATTACTATTATGGAAGTGTTTTTATATATATGGATACTTTGGTTCACGTGATGTGACTTGCCCAAGGTCACACAACTCATGGCAAATTCAGGTGTTGCCTGAAGGGTTCTGAATCTAATTCCCTGTGATCTCCAGAGTATCATGTGCCATCTTGTGGGGGGCAAGCCAGAGGGAGTGGCCCTGGCAGCCAAATGCCGCCGTTGGGGTCTCTGTGGTTCCTTCTTGGCCTTTCTGC